CACTCCCAATACTGTAAATATAGAAATAAAGCAGTATTTCAGTCCACTGTAGATTTCCACGTGTTACAATAAACTACATAAACCAGGAAGTACGTCATCAATCAAGCGACGGATTTTCTTTCTTTTACCGTTGAGAAAGTCAGTAGCTCCCATAGCTCCATGGTAGCTCCTCGGACTCATATCAACCCAAAGTTACCCATTGGTATGCAATGTACCAATGTAAATATACCAAATTGTATTTGAAATACATTTATTTTATGCTAAGTATACTGCAAATACATTTACATATGTATGTATGTAGGCCTACTTAATATAAATACCCTACAACTGCACTGTTGGTACCGGTATGCTAAATTGATAAACTTCTGCTAAATTGGAACAATTAATTTCGCACTTAATGCAGTTATCTGGAAATAGTGCTGAGGTCCAACTAAAGATAAACTTAAGTATGTTTGATTGTGCTATAATGTAACTATTGCAAGTATACTTTAGGTACACTTTAAATATCTTTAATTTAAAGACTGATGTAGGCTACTGTTGATCATATTATATTTACTAAAAGTAATATCAAAACTCATTTTATGCTTAATATTAGGAAATGTGCATTGTGCAATAAAAAAGTAATCAAAAGTTTCATTATAATATTTATATCAGTAGCTTCATGCATTATGTCAGTAATGTTAATGGATTTGTATTATACTAACTTAGTATGAAATAAATGTATTTTAAATACATTTCGGTATAGTTTTTTTTTTCTCTAGAGGTGTTATGACCTTACAATTGAGAGAGTATACAGTATTTGCATTTTTAAAAATGCTATAATACTGCAGGACAGTTAAACTAATGATATGACAAAAAAAGAAATGGAGTTGCGGAAACTAGCCTGTATAAACTTGTACTTATAAATTCATCAATAATTTAAATTAAATATTGATATTTGTTAAGACAAATGCACATATTGTGCATTTTTTTTCTCTTTATTTGTTCAGTATATTTGGGTCTGAAGCAACACAAAGGTAAACCCGAGCTATTTGTAACAATGTCTTTTTGGACTAACACAGCATCATTTCAGTTATTGCTCCCATGCTGTTTAATTAACAGGGAAACATATTTAATTTGGGAAACTCTTTATTTGCAATAAATATCAGAATGACTATTTCTAGGTCAATACATGCATTACACTCATGTAGGACTCTGTATACCCAGAAGAGGGCATGCAGTGATAGTTATTGCTTCAGTTGCATTATCCTGTTCCATGTCTTTGAGCTTCAACCAGTGTCTGTTCGCTACATTTAATTAAGAATCTGTCTTCTGCTTTTGGACCGATTAAAGAGAGCAGTTTGAACTCTAAATTTCGACGTTATATAAGATGTATGACTTACCTGTTTTCTTTCAGCACATGTTCTACTCTACAAGATTACATTCCACTCAAGTTAAAGAAAACAAAGTGGAAAAAGGAACAATAAACTTCGCATATTCTCAAAATGGTATTATAGAAAACATTACACAGATGCATTTAATAAACAGGTTTCAGCTTGGAGCAACGATAAATTTGTGTTGTGTTGCCAGGCGGTGTATCGTGTAAACTTAAAACCTGCACAGAGCCTGTGTGGAATGCGTAGATAATGGCTTCTGGGGCGGCCAACACAGTCAATGAGAACCAGGCATACCTTGTATAATACTAGTATTATTCTATAGACTTAGGATCAGATTTACTAACAGCTTGCGCCAGTGCAAACCCTCCAATGCACAATATGTTAAAATACAATTAGGTGGAGTTAACGTGACCTCAGGACATGTTAACAACCCATATTCATTTGACTTGTTTAGTAAATCTGGCCCTAAAAAAAGAGGGCAATAGCCTATCAGAGATCACCTTTAATAGTTTAATATCGCAGAAAATTCTATAGATAACTTTTATTCATAAATAAAAACTTGTTCTTTTCTTTTTTTTTGTAAAAAAAACTATTTTCTTTTATTTCAGCATAAAAAGAAAAAAACTTTCCTAAACGTTGTCTTTTATTTTAGAGTCATGTTTACACTGTTCAGGAATTAAACTCAGAATAAGGAATAACTCGTGTAGTCTTTTGATCACAGATTGCACTAGAAAAATTTGAGAATGTCATGTTCTTTTTGTCATCTTCAGTTGTTCACTCAGTTAAAATCAAATGTGACAACATCAGAAATGCTCTGCAAATAGAGTTCGACCAAGAGAGAAAACAAAAACAATGCATAAATTATTTTCAGATTTAATTTTCTGTTTTAAGACCCACATCACTGATGGGCAGTGATGGCATCTTGTATAGTATTAATTAGAGCAATTTATGATTTGGTTGCACTGAATATTTGAATAAGCACTAACAGTTATTTAAAGGTCCCCTGCATGAAATTTTCACTTTCTGAGGTTTTTTAACATTAATATGAGTTCCCCTATAGCCTGTCCCCCAGTGGCTAGAAATTTCAATCGGTGTAAACCGAGCTTTGGCTATATCTTTCTCTGCCTTTGAGAAAATGAAAGCTCAGATGGGCTGATCTTGAATCTCCTCCGTATGACGTCATACGGAGGAAAGGTAACCTCCCCTTACTCTGCTTTGCCCGCCCAGAGAATTTGGCTCGCCGATGAGAAAATGAGCTGGAAGTACGATCGTGCGAGCGCGATTTGAGTTTTTCCTCGAGAGATATCAGCTTGCAAATGAGCGAAGCATGGCAGTTGATCAGTGTTCGGATGTACAAATGAACACAAAAGTATTTTTTAGTTCCTTCATCCCAGCCTCTGAAGAAACAATGGGTTAATTTTATTTTCTCTGGAAATGCGCCGACACAACTTCCCAAAGTTTTGTATGGTCCAAACATTTCACAGACGACTGTTTCCTCAACTTGGGCCAACAGAGCTGGCCTCGATGAACGTCTGAAAATAAATCATCGAGCTACCAAGCAACAATTTGATGTGTAGCCTAATTGTTCAAGTTCAGACAGGTAATCTTTCTCTCAAAATCGTTCAATACTGTTTATGCATCAGTCAAGCCAGTGACTAAAATATCAACTTCACATCGTTTCTTTTAGTATGAAAATAATCGTATTTAAATTGTGAACAAATTAAATACAGAAAGCAGAACAATCTTTCCACACAGCGCGAGTTTATCTGGATAATTCGTTATGAAATCAATGACGCACGTTACACTGCACTATGAAGCTCTTACTGTATGTACATCATCGTGTTTGCATTGGTGAAAGCATTAGAGAGAGTGCAGACACTGCGTTGCAATAATACGATCTTTATTTTCGCGATCAACAGACTGTCATCGTCATCTGCTTGCTCAATGCTCATCACGGCAACATTTTATGTGATGGGAATAGATCTAAATACTTTAAAAACTTCTCACGATTCGTTAATCTCGATAGCTGTAATAGTAAAAACGTATAATAGCTGTAGTAAAAGTATTCGAGAGAGTTTCACATGTAGCCTAATATGTTGCTATTTCATATGCAAGCATGTCAGCCAATCACAGCAGTGGCCGGTTACACTGAACCCCACAGCAGACACGCCCCTTCAAACAGAGCGTTCAAATCAGGCTAGGAAAAATGCCTTTTATTTCTAAATTATGACTATTTTTGATCTAAAAAACATACTAACATTATAAGGGCAACCCAGGAAACATTATACAATAATAAAATAACCCCATGTCATTGTCAGGGGACCTTTATGTCTAGAGAAGGATTTTTTTTTATTCCAGAAACTTTTGATGTGCTGGTTACATTTTATTACCATAATAAATAGTATGCAAATAAATCAAAATTGCATTGGAAAAGTCAAACGAGGACACGTTTCATGCTAAACACTATAATAACAGCCCAGGTTTAATAAACTCTTTTCAAATAATAGAGGATATTGAGCTGTGTCCTAAAATAAAAGATTCAGCATGTATTATCCTGTGTTATTGAGCAATTCAACAGCAGTTGCAAACAGGTGCTCCAACAACCAATGCCAGAGTGAGAGGTATTTTTAAGATGGCTTGCTGATAGGTCCACTTTTTTCCGTCAGGGAGAGAGAATTTGCTTGTTTGATTTTTCCGTCAAGATTGGGTTAAGTTGCAGGGTCATGATATCCTTTTAGGTATTCACTTAATCTGTTCTCGGCATTGCCAGTAAACAGGCAGCCACATGGGAGAAAGTAATGATGGATCAAGACCAAAGCCTTTGCTGGATTTTGGATGTGTCTGCCTGGTAATAATAATAATACTTCTTTGTTTGCTATATCTATCTGAATATATCTACATGGTAGAGGAGGTGAACAATTCTGCATATATTTTTTTGACTGATAAGAATTTTAATGTTATGGACTATAATCTTCTTAATTATAAAATTCAAGATTAATTTGTATTTTATTTACTTTATAATACCAAATATTAATTAAAATAATATTATAATTGAATGCATTCATATTTTTTTTAAATGTAACTTATATTTGTCACGGTTCATGGATTCAGTGACTCGCCCTCGCTATGTGTGTGTGTGTAGTACGAATGGGCGCGGCTCGTCAGCATTGCTCGTTATCCTCGCTGATGAGCTGATTTAGCGCCAGCTGTGTTGAATGAGAATGTCCTATATATTGTGTGTCATATCGTCCTGTCTTTGTCAGATGGTTGTTGAGGTTCTCGGAGTTCACCTGTGTTTCTCCTCGATCTAGTGTTTGTTCCTGTGCTTTGGATATTATTCGGTTTGGAGTTCTTCTGCCTTTTGACTGTCCCTGACCAACGGTGGATACCGTCCTGTTCTGAGTTTTCGCGGCCTGACTACCGTCTGTACCTGTTCCGGTTATCTTCTGGTCCTGATCTGTCTGCCCACGGAGACCTGCGCTATCGAGTCTGGTTTTCATCATCCTGCCGGCATATTCGTCCGAGACTACTGCTCTCTCTCTCTGTGTTTAAATAAACACCTGTTCACTTGCAATTGAATCTACGTCTGTTCTTTATCACCGTGACAGAACCATCTGACCATTCATGGATTCAGCGAGTGCGGAGAACGTCGGGCAGATGGTGGTCGACAACAACGCCCGCATGGATCGCCAAGACGAACAGATCGGAGCTTCGGGTCGGGCTATCCAGGCTCTGGTAGCGCAGGTGTCTGAGCTCACCTCTCAAATACAACGTCTGAGGGGTCCCGCTGTGCCAGCACCGCCCCCGCCTGTTCCCCTTGCACCTCCCAACGTCAATCGTCCTGAGCCGCGCATTCCCACGCCAGAGAGGTATTCGGGTGAACCTAATTTGTGCAGAGCTTTCTTAACTAAATGCTCAATCTTCTTCTCTCTCCAGCCTGTGACATTTTTTTCGGAGGAGAGTAAAGTGGCACTTGTAATGACGTTGCTATCTGGACGCGCGGCTCAGTGGGGAACAGCGGTGTGGCAAAACCAACACGAGTGCTGCTCCTCGTTCCAAGCACTCGAGCAGGAGATGAAGCGCGTGTTCGACCGCGCGGTGGCCGGACGTGAGGCGGCTCGTCAATTGGCCGATCTTCGTCAGAACAACAGTTCCGTGTCCGATTATTCCATCCAGTTTCGAACATTGGCCGCCGAGTGCAAATGGAACGAGGAGGCACAGTGGGACCTATTCCTGCATGGGCTGGCTGACCGTGTTCAACGTGAAATCTACACTGTGGAACTACCGAAGACTCTTGATGGACTGATTGAACTGGCACTACGTGTCGATGCTCGTTTACAACAAGGAACGAAGCGTCAGTTCCAAGTTCCTTTGGTCGACGGAGGAGACTTTTCCGGTCTCAGAGGCACGAGCACGGTCAGCCCCTCGAACGATCCTGAGCCCATGCAGGTAGGTCGAGCTCGACTCTCCCGGGAGGAGAGAGAACACCGTCGCTCGAGAGGTCTGTGTCTCTACTGCGGGGAGGCCGGCCACCTTGTTTCCACCTGTCCTTTAAAAGGCCAAGCCCGGCGGTAGGATGGGGGCTACTGTCGGGCGGATTATTCCGGACCAGACCCTCGAGCGCCACCCTTCTCCCGGTGAGACTCCAGTGGGCAGACGGATCCTTCAACGGCGAGGCACTGGTGGATTCTGGAGCGGAGGGGAACCTGATTGACTCTTCACTGGCCAGAAGACTTCACCTCCCCATCACGACCCTGAACCACCCCATCCACATCCACGCACTCAACGGACAGGAGCTCCCGGGAATCACTCACACCACTGGGGTTATCACACTCGTCACTTCGGGTAACCACACAGAGAGGATCTCACTCTATCTCACCCAGTCACCTCACGCCCCAATTGTCCTGGGTCATCCGTGGTTGGTGAAACACGGGCCCCGGATAGAGTGGGGACAGAACTCAGTGTCCAGTTGGTGTGAACAATGTTATGCCTCGTGTCTTTCGTCTGCTGTTCCGTCTGTTTCTCGTTCTATGTTGCAGGAGGAGCCGGTGAATCTGTCTAACGTGCCACCGGAGTATCTCGACCTGAAGGAAGTGTTCAGTAAGTCCCGGGCTGCTTCTCTTCCTCCGCATCGTCCCTATGACTGTGCTATAGATTTATTACCAGGTATGTCTCCGCCTAAGGGCAAGTTATATTCACTTTCTGTTCCAGAAAGGGAGGCTATGGAGAAATATATTTCTGATTCTCTGGCAGCGGGGTTCATTCGTCCTTCCTCTTCTCCAGCGGGGTCGGGATTCTTTTTCGTGGGGAAGAAGGATGGGTCGTTGCGACCTTGTATTGATTACCGGGGGTTGAACAACATTACGGTAAAGAATACTTATCCTTTACCGTTGATGGCTTCAGCCTTCGAGAGGTTGCAAGGAGCATCCATCTTCACGAAATTGGATTTACGTAATGCTTATCATTTGGTTCGCATCAGGAAGGGGGATGAATGGAAGACCGCGTTTAACACCCCCAGGGGGCACTTTGAATATTTGGTTATGCCGTTCGGGCTTTCCAACTCCCCAGCCGTCTTCCAGGCACTCGTCAATGACGTGTTGAGAGACATGGTAGACCAGTTCATATATGTTTACCTGGATGACATATTGATCTTTTCTTCGTCTCTCCAGGAACACGGTCAACACGTCAGGCGAGTGCTTCAGAGGCTGCTAGAGAATGGGCTTTTTGTCAAGGCGGAGAAATGCGCGTTTCATGCACAGTCTGTTCCTTTTTTAGGGTACATCATTTCGTCTGAGGGAGTGCGGATGGACCCTGAGAAGGTGAAGGCTGTGGTGGAGTGGCCAAGCCCAGATTCCCGTAAGGCCCTACAGAGGTTTCTGGGGTTCGCCAACTTCTACCGGCGTTTCATTCGCAACTTCAGCCAACTAGCCGCGCCTCTGACTGCCTTGACCTCCCCCAGAACGGCGTTCAGGTGGTCAAACACAGCTGAGGCTGTGTTTGCCAAACTGAAGGGCCGCTTCGTTTCAGCCCCTATCCTCATAGCCCCTGATTCATCACGCCAGTTTGTGGTGGAGGTCGACGCGTCAGAGGTGGGGGTAGGAGCAGTGCTGTCGCAACGTTCTCCCACAGACGACAAGATGCATCCCTGCGCGTTTTTTTCCCATCGTTTATCTCCCGCCGAGTGTAACTATGACATTGGTAACCGAGAGTTGTTGGCGGTCAAGTTAGCGTTGGAGGAATGGCGTCATTGGTTAGAGGGGTCGGGGGTACCTTTTATCGTCTGGACCGATCACAAGAACTTAGAATACATTAGAACTGCCAAAAGATTGAACTCCAGGCAGGCTCGGTGGGCACTTTTTTTCGGACGTTTTGATTTTGTTCTCTCGTACCGCCCGGGTTCCAAAAACATCAAACCCGACTCTTTATCTCGTATTTTTGACCGCTCCGAACGCCCGTCTACTCCCGAGTGCATTTTTCCCGAGACCCTAATTGTCTCCACACTCACATGGGAGGTCGAATCGAAGGTCAAGTCGGCCTTAGAAGGGGTAACGCCTCCGCCCGGGTGTCCACCGAACCGATTATTTGTGCCGGAGGGATTACGGTCTGACGTCATTCAGTGGGGGCATTGTTCCAACGTGGCTTGTCATCCAGGAGTCAATCGCACTAGTTTCTTAGTCAAGCAACGATTCTGGTGGCCTCGCATGGCTCGTGACGTACACAGTTTTGTTTTGGCTTGCTCGGTTTGTGCCATTGGTAAGACTTCCAACCAACCCCCAGATGGGTTACTCCAACCGCTGCCTGTCCCTTCGAGACCCTGGTCACACATAGCGCTAGATTTTATCACCGGCCTCCCACCCTCCCAGGGTAACACGGTCGTTTTGACTGTGGTGGACCGGTTCTCGAAGGCGGCCCATTTCATTTCCTTGCCCAAATTACCCTCAGCCAAGGAGACAGCGTTGGCCGTCGTAGATCACGTCTTTCGTTTACATGGCCTCCCGACAGACGTGGTTTCCGACAGAGGTCCCCAGTTTGTGTCCAAATTTTGGAGAGAGTTTTGTAAATTACTGGGAGCGACTGTTAGTCTGTCCTCAGGGTTTCACCCCCAGAGCAATGGTCAAACCGAGAGAGCCAACCAAGATCTGGAAAGGACGTTACGATGTTTAGTCTCTAAGAATCCTTCGTCCTGGAGTCAACAACTTTCTATGGTGGAGTACGCACACAACACGTTGCCAGTGTCGTCCACGGGTCTTTCTCCGTTTGAATGTAGTGTAGGATACCAGCCACCAATTTTTCCCAGTCTGGAATCCGAGGTCGCGGTTCCCTCCGCTTACGCCTTTATCCAGAGGTGTCAGCGCACATGGACCAGAGCCCGTGAGACTCTGCTCCAGGTGCGTGCTCGCACCAAGGCTAAAGCCGATCGCCACCGGTCTAAGCCTCCCGTATACGTCGTGGGTCAAAAAGTGTGGCTTTCTACCAAGAACATTCCGCTCCGCTCCGTCTCTAACAAACTTGCTCCTAAATTTATTGGCCCGTTTACTGTCGCCAAAATGATTAGTCCGGTGACAGTCCGCCTCAACCTGCCTCCAGCGTACAGGAGGATTCACCCCGCCTTCCATGTATCTAAAATTAAACCCATGTTTCGTTCTACCATTAATCCGCCTGCCCCGGTTCCTCCCCCGCCGCGACTCGTAAATGGGGAACCAACTTATTCGGTTAATCGTATACTGGATTCTAGACGGAGGGGACGCGGATTCCAGTATTTGGTGGACTGGGAAGGTTACGGTCCGGAGGAGAGAAGTTGGGTTCCGGCTAGGGACATCTTGGATCACTCCCTTATCGATGATTACAATCGGCAGGTAAGGGGGTCTGAGAACGCCAGGCGGCGTTCTTAGGAGGGGGGGTACTGTCACGGTTCATGGATTCAGTGACTCGCCCTCGCTATGTGTGTGTGTGTAGTACGAATGGGCGCGGCTCGTCAGCATTGCTCGTTATCCTCGCTGATGAGCTGATTTAGCGCCAGCTGTGTTGAATGAGAATGTCCTATATATTGTGTGTCATATCGTCCTGTCTTTGTCAGATGGTTGTTGAGGTTCTCGGAGTTCACCTGTGTTTCTCCTCGATCTAGTGTTTGTTCCTGTGCTTTGGATATTATTCGGTTTGGAGTTCTTCTGCCTTTTGACTGTCCCTGACCAACGGTGGATACCGTCCTGTTCTGAGTTTTCGCGGCCTGACTACCGTCTGTACCTGTTCCGGTTATCTTCTGGTCCTGATCTGTCTGCCCACGGAGACCTGCGCTATCGAGTCTGGTTTTCATCATCCTGCCGGCATATTCGTCCGAGACTACTGCTCTCTCTCTCTGTGTTTAAATAAACACCTGTTCACTTGCAATTGAATCTACGTCTGTTCTTTATCACCGTGACAATATTGGTAGCACTTTACAATAAGGTTTCATTTGTTAACATTAGATAACTAAATTAGTAAACCTGAACTAACAATGAACAATACTTCTCCAGCATTTATCAATCTTAATGTTAATCTCAACATTTACTAATATCAAAAGCTGTATTTATTAACATTAGTTAACACACTGAACTAACATGAACGTTAAGTATTATTAAGTAACATTAACAAAGGTTAATACATGCTGTACAAATATGTTGCTCATTGTTCATGTAGTTAATCAATGCATTAATGTTAACAAATAAGACCTTATTATAAAGTGTTACTGATATATTTAATAATATAAAGTATGTGTGCATACACAAATATATTATAATTTATATTACAATAAATATATAATTATACTTATAATAATTATAATATGAATATTAAAATTGTGTTCATGAATTAATATTCTTTACAAATATTTAAGTTTTTCCTTTTTAATAAATGTGCTAAGTTGTCACGGATCTGTTTTTTTGCTTTGTCATTGGTGTATGGAGTGTAGATTGATATGGAAATAGAGTAATTTAAAGTAGTTTAATTTAAGGCAGCAACAAAAAATGTGTTTGAATATTTTTGCAAGCCACTGTAGTAATAATATTCAGTGTTAATATAAACCTGATTACCAATGGCTACTTTAACAATACATCAGATGATTATTATATATGGCCATAACAAAGCCAATGCAGGTTACATGTTACACATCAAGAAATCTTTTCTTTTTTTATGTCAGCACATTTAGAATTACAAAGAAAATGCACTAAAGATGAAAGCTGAAGCACAACTACATGTGTCAAATAATCATCTGTAGTGCAGAGACGGATCTCTAGCTCCAGAGTTACCTTTCAACAGTCAGTCATCATGGCCTACAGCCTCGTCACCCCTTTTGCACTGAGCAAATCACAGCAGAGTCACTGGTAAATGATACAAGATTAAAGTTTACAAAAAGAATTGAAAGCAGACAGTTTGTCCTTTTAAAAGACCAAATGCTACCAATTATTCTCATCAACAAAGGGAAGTACATGAAGCTATACTTAAAGCAGGATTTAGGCTAAACTGGTCATTTAACCATCAAGATAAATTCCCTATTGGCAACACTTGAATACTGGCAAAACAGAGAGGCAAAACACTAACAGACTAAAGACACAAAACAGTTGCTCTTTTATGCAAAAGCACAAGGATGAAGGCACACGTACAGGCAAATTAACACAGTTTGACCTCACATTTATTATCTACATTTTATTCATTTATTTTAAGAACCTGCAAAGGAAATGAAAATGTCTGTTTGCACACTTCATGACCATCATCTGTATCTCAACAAGTGACGTCACAATTCATTCCTGACAATCATGGAGGCTTTTTAGAGACTTCACATTACTTGTAACATTGTTAGTTTAACAGAGTTAGCAATAAACCATTTGCTGGATAGTTATATTAACAGCTTCATACGAAAAGTCGGTAACACTTTACAATAAGGTTTCATTTGTTAACATTGGCTACATTAGTTAACATGAATTAATAATGAACTGCAGTTCTACAACATTTAATAATCTTTGTTAATGTTAATTTCAAAATTATTACTACATTATTAAAATCAAAAGTTGTATTTGTTAACATTATTAATGCACTGTGAACTAACAAACAATGAACAACTGTATACAGCAACAAATGTATTGCTTATGGTTAGTTCATGTTAGTTAATACATTAACTAATGGTAACATATGAAACCCAATTGTAAAGTGTCACCAAAAAATCCAAACATTACTTTATGCAAATATGACTTTTACCTGATTAACATGTTTCTGAGTGTAAAATCTAAACAAACTACAAACACATAAAAACATAAGTAGTGATACGAGACCGAACAGGATTTTTTTTCCGGGTTTATAAATGTAAACATGCTTCTGGTTAAACAAAAAGAATCCCAAATTCACAATGATCTTTTATAAACACCGGTCTTTGGTCAGACCATAATATGCTGTGGCAGAAATCATAAACAATTTTTTTTTTTTTTACTAAAACATTTAAGCTCCCACTTTGTCACTAGACACATTCCAGATACAGAAGATGCTATTCTAAAATGTATGTCTCTTTCAAATCGAAACCACGCCGCTGGATAATCAAAACATGCCTCATGACAGATATTCCATTACACTGCACGGTCAAGTCGAGTTGAATTGCTGTGTCTTATGATTTCATATGTCCAACTCTGGACAATATTTCAGCAGGACATGTTACTCATCTTTATCGGACAGCAATGTACAGTTAGCATGAAGCACTGCAGGCTTCAAATGAAATAAAATACTTTTTATGTTGTAAGCACAGCCATTTTTTATGTCTATAACCTTTGCCAATTATACAATGAAAGAAAGGTGTTTGTTAATAAAGTCAAGAAGCCAGAGGTATAATACCATAAGTTTGTATAATACAAAATAAAGGATTTCCTGGTATTTTTTTTTAATTGCAAATGACTATTTAATTTAGTAAATTTAGTATTTAATTGATCATTATTGTTGTACTTTATATATAAAAAATGATTGCATTTACACTGTAATTTTAACTGTAAAATATTGTAAAAACACTATGGGAAAAAAACTGTTAATAGGTTAATTTAACATAGAAACTGTAAAAGAGGACATTTCATGTAATTTTACAGTAAAATACTGTTAAATATATAGTTTTTAGAAGTAAAGCAGAACAAATGAAATTATCATTTACAGTGAAAAACTGTAAATTAAAATTCCCAGCATTCTCTAAATGTGTGACACTTCATATTTCAAGGTATTTTGTCCAAATAATTTCTTTGCACATATATAATTGTGTATCAGTCATGCACAATTGGGTACACACTGCTAAATGCAAATAGGCACGCGTGTGTGTTTTTTGTTCTTTTTGTGTGTGTGGTGTTACATTAATCCTCTAATGTGTTTATCTTCTGTTAAGTTACTCCTTAAGCTTCCACTTGTTTAGCTCTTCGCTCCCTGGAGCCTCAGTTTTCGCACCACATAAATCACAGGGTAGCATTATCTGCTGGCAGCAGCTGATGGAGATAGTGCCAGGAACACGCTCCTTAAACCATCATTGGTTTATGAGGACCCCTCTCCTATGTAATTCACCATAGTAGACAAGGAAATAATATGGTTAATATTTTGATCCTAAAATAGTGCGTGACGAACCCAATGAACTTTACCGTATTTTGGCCTTCTCGGTGGGCCTCTTTATACTGAGTGTCAGTGTCTGTTTTAAAAAGATCAGCCAGAAGCTCTTCTA